CAGCTCCTGAGGACTTTAGAGTCTCAGAAATGAGCCTTGTGGGCCACTTAAGAGTCCAGCAAGCCTAAAACACATTGTAGCGTCATCACCCATACACCATCTCCAAAGCAAGATACACCATTAGAATTCAAGGGTAAGTCTTTGGAAAAACAAGTCCATAATTTCTATCCCTGTGGGATTTTTTTTCCTTTTTTTAGCCATGGGCCTGATCTCTGGGCCTAGGTACTGTTTCTCAGCTCTTCAGCTCAAGGCTAGCACCCTACCACTTGAGCTACAGCACCACTTCCGGCTTTTTCTGCTTATGTGGTGCTGAAGAGTCAAACCCAGGCCCTCCTGCCTGCAAGGCAAGCACTCTACCACTAAGCCACCTTCCCAGCCCACTGTGGAAAATTTTTTAAAAGCAAACTCCTAATAGAAGAGATAAGTCTAATTAATAAATGAGAAAATACATTTTAATTAGGTTGATTACTATTTTAATAGCTTGACATTGAGTAAAATAGGCATATTTATTTTGTTGTTACTGAAGAACATAATTTACCTAACTAGACGTTCCTTATTCCTGTTAGCATGAGCTTAGTGTCATTGTTTTGCTTTCTAAAGATTTTTATAAGATTTTATAAATAGTTTTAGAAATATCCCAAACTGAAGCAGCTGGAGGTAGAGCTCAGAGCTAGAGCACCCACGCACCAAGTACAAGATCCTCATTCGAACCCTTCTTCCACATGGAAAAGAGAGAAAAAGAAATACTCCAGTTTCTTTATGTAAAAGGACTTATAGTCTACTTCCAAGTATTAATTGTTTATAAAAGAAATACACGAAGAATAAAATTTAATACTTGATTTTCCACTTTTCCCTACCTTCCTCTTTCCCCAAAGACTTCTCTCACCTCTTACTCCTCTCATTGCAAACATAACTGGCTTGTAAACTAACACACGGATACGCGCGCGCGCACACACACACACACACACACACACACACATAATGTTGACTCACTAACTGAAAGAGATTTTACAGTCCCTATAGAGCCATGGTGTTCGGGTAGCTATTATAAGATAATATGTTCTGTATTTTATATATGTAAGAGGAAAGGACAGCTATGTGTATGTATGTGTGTGTAAGTTTAATACTTTACTATGTTGAAGGGCTATTGAATTGTTGAATGGTGAAAAGCTGTGGACACTGGTATTTGTTACTGGCTTCAGTTGATGAGTGATAGCTCATATTACCTTCTTCATTTCCATACCTATTGCAGTGAGCATGGCATATACTCATCCACTTTTTTTTGACATTTTGTGGCTGTGATAATGTTGACAACGATATTGGCCTATATTAAGCCAAGAGATTCACTATTGCTCTAATTCAGACTGTTAGAGAACTAGTTTTAGGAGTTCGGTACAGCAATGCTGGAGTATCTAAATTTCGTGTGTCTTAAAAATCTTGGCTTCAACTGGCATTGGTGGCTCAAGCCTGTAATCCTAGCTACTCAGGAGGCTGAGAGCTGAGGATTGCAGTTCAAAGCCAGCCCAGGCAGGAAACTCCATGAGACTCTTATCTCCAATAAGCCACTCAGAAAACTGGAAGTGGCGCTGTGGCTCGCATTGTAGAGCGCTCGCCTTGAGCTGAAGAGCCAAGGGATAGCGCCCAGGCCCAGAGTTCAAGCCCCACAACCAAAAAAAAAAAATCTTGGCTTCATGATTATGATAATCAGAACAAACTCATATCAGATTTAGGCCTTTCAATTTGCATATACTATGTGAGTGTCTTGGGAAGCATTACTTATGGCTGCATTGTTCAAAGGCTATTTTACAAAGTACATTTGAGGGGAAACTAATTTCCCAAGAAGCACCTTGTTACCAAACTTCCAAGAAAGAATCTATTTATATGCCATTAGGTCTTAGGAAGCCAATGTCTTTAAAAACAAATCTGATTCTTAAAGGGTATCTGAAAACAAGTGAACTTGGTCAAGAAATGTTCTTGATTCCTTGGTTGTTTTTCATTGGTGTTGAAATTAAAGCAAATATAGCCACATTGTTGTTGGAGCAATGATTGCTCTTGATAACACAAGGGCAAACACAGATATTACCAAACCCTTGGAATGTGCTGAAGAATTATGTAAGAAAATCAGAAATCTGCAAACCATAGTGTGAAAAAGCAAATAGATTGAGGAGAGATTGAGTAATGGAGAATGCTTAAAGATGTTTCTGTAATCATACTTAATGTATAGCCCAGCTGGTTTATTTCTTAAGTCAATTTTGATTGCTATTATCCTAAGGCATTTAGCTTTTCTTAACTGGAACCCTGCAGTGGGAATTATTGCTGGAAATATTGATCAACTTAAATGTAAACAAAGGAGCTAGGCATTAGAACCTCAAGAGTTATTTGTCCATTAATTTATTCATCATTTATTGAGTGTTTTCCCTGGATAAGGACTACAGAAAAGGCATAGTTCTTTCTCTAGCAATGAACCCCCAAAAAGAAATTAATAGGTAGATAGATAGATTCAAGGAATAATAAAGTTGTTGGAGAGGAATTATAAATATCATAATGGATGCCAAGGCCTATGTGAGTTCAAACAGGTTAAGAGATTTATTCCAACTTGAATAGGGTTGAAGTATGAATAGAAATTTGCCCAGAGGGAACAAAAATGGGAGAATATTCCACTCCAAGGGGATAGCATGAGAAAATGTCTCAACAGAAAAGTTCAGAGAGGGCTGGGAAGGTGGCTCAGTAGTAGAGTGCTTGTCTTGCATGCATGAGGCTCTGGGTTCCATTCCTCAGCACCACATAAACAAAAAGAAAAAAGCCGGAAGTGGCGCTGTGGCTCAAGTGGTAGAGCACTAGCCTTGAGCTGAAGAGCTGAGGGACAGTGCCCAGGCCCAGAG